GTGTAGGGTGTGTGTTGTACAGTGCGTAGGTGCGGCAGACAGACAGGTCTCAGTTGGTTTGGTGTCCTCTGCTTACTTTAATACTTGTACAACTTTTGGCCCGTAAATTTCAATTCCCATTTCAGCGACCAGAGAGAGAGGGGGGGAGGGATATATCCAGTCTCTGATTGTGTTACGTTATTATGAGAGTGCTCTCATATTTGTTTAATCTCTTAAAATGTAGCCTATATATTATATAAATACATGTGTAGTGTGTGTGTGTGTGTGCGTATATTATGTCCGCATCTGTAGCCTGTTATTGTCTCATTATATCGCACTGTCAATGATTAAAAATAAATATATAAGTGTCATGAACACATCTGTCCATCAGAGTGCTGCTGTGCCTCCTGTCATCATTAATGGACGTCTCTTTAAAATGGACCGCTCAGAGGAGAGGAGTTCTCATTTCTCTAACCGCCTGCTGCTTTCCCCTCACTTTCCTCCTCGGCTTCCCCTCCTCAGTCCTCCGCTTCGCATCTCCTGTGGGCGGCCACCAAGTCTCGAGGAGAGGAGTCGAGGATAGGAGTAAAGGAGGGGAATTTGAGTATTGAGAAACCTCTATTCTGACTGACTGCATGAAGAAAGATCGCAGAAAATGACGACAGAACAGCTAAGAAAAGACATTCTCACACTGTGTCAGATTTTGGTATTTTGGGAAAGGTCGAGATAAATTGTTTGGTGGATTGCAATTTGAACCAGAGTAAGCAGCATGGAGGTAGGATCGTCACCAACATAAATAAATAAAGTGGTCCCAAAAAGTCTAAATGACAAAAAAAATACACATAGCCCTATCCTCAGGCAGTGTGTTTGTACCGGGGACAGGAGACACCCCCTTGATGAGAAACTTAAGAAAGTGATCGGGGAATCCCTCCGGAGTGGAGGTCATGACGACTGGATCTGAATTATTGTTTTGTATTTGGTGCTTTTGGTTCCAGCTGTCGATCAGGCAACTATATATCCATAATTCAACAGTTAAAGGAAATACAACTAAATGTTTTGTGTTATATAGCTGTACCAATTGACCACATGTGTTTCTTAGTTTCCATACCTCCTGTGTTTTACGAGCGACTTATCAAGTCTTGGCGAACGGCATAAAACATGATTAAACATGATAGTATATAAAACCATGCTAATATCTATACAACCTATAGAAATGCAAAACGGCGTCAGTTTAAAGTAATTCTGTCCTTCTGTTTACCGCATCATTTATGAGAATATATTTCTTAACAAGAGAACATAATCGAGGGGTGGTCAATAACATTTCCGTATTTATTTATTTCTCCAAGTTATGTTTTTGTGTGCACTGAGGAGTCTCAAACAGGCGTTTGTTAAATCATTTTAAGGTTGGCTTTAATCAATTTGTGAAAATGAATTCTTCATAGGCCTAGCCTATATGATAAACGAGAGGTAACATTCTATTTATGGTATTATTTCCACATATTTCTCTCCATTCTTCCTTCTGCCAACGGTGTCGCAGTTTCTCGTCCCTCCCGTTTTTGTGCTTATTGCGTACGCATGGGTCAGTTTGCTTGGAGGACCGCGACAATTATATGCCTCGGCCCGCGGCAGATAATTGGATGGCCTACCTGCCTGTCAGCCTTCCATCTCGTGCACAAACTTATCTCGTGCTTTCATTAGTCATTTGCGCGTTCGTGTGTGTTGGAGGAGGGGCTCTGTAAGGAAGTCTGAAGAAAGGGGCGGATTTATTTTGGTTGTGTGCTTTCAAATTCTAGCGCACTCTAGCTGGTTTCTCCATTCTTACGTGCCCTACCTTTTTAAGGCTTGAAGAAAAGCTAAAAGAGCATGAAGCTAGAAAGTAGCTGACACAAAAATAAGAACAAAATGTTACGTTTGCCTCTAATGAGAATTAAAGTTGAAAAAAGTGTGTCCATGATACCACATATTTTGCCACAAAGCAAACTTTAATTGGAAATTAGTGAATTAATAAACTGGACAATGTTATCAAAACCATCAACTACAGTAGATGCCATCAACCACAGAGAGAACTTGGGCCAGGGGCATTAAACATTATATCTCAACTATCCACTTGTGAAGTAATGTGAATGCATATATGCATGTGATTGTCTATTGTGGTAACACATTTGTTCAGACGGACATCAACAAACTCAAAATAGTTTCAGTGGTAGTTCTGCTACAGTGAGTGTTTCCACAATGTTTTGACACACTTCACAGTAATGAATTGTACAAACAGTTGAGCTGAACTTGTGCATGTTTTGGCAGATGACTAAAATCTGCAGTCTCCTTAAAGTACTCCACCAAATGGAGTGGTGCAGGAATTAGTCCTAAAACCCAGAAAAAACTTAGCATTTAACCACTTCCAGTTTTCTAGTTTTTAAGTCAATGTTTTTTGTATGTGTTTGCCTGAAATAAGGTCTGTGGTTAACTCAAGCTGAAGAGATTTTTCACATTTTGTTTTACGTATTAAAACTTCAGTAAAAACTTCACTCATGCATGTCCGATGGTATAAGTGTCAAACAAATGGCGGTTGCTAACAAGAGACTAAATGTCATCACACCGACACAAGTTCGCTTTTAGCTTGTCATTTTAAAGACATACAAGGATTCTTTTTTTTAACAGAGGTTAGGAGATAAATGAAACATCTAACCACAAAGTCTGTCATAGTTAGCAGTGGTTAAGCGCAACCATCTGGCTGTGCTGTAGTTCGTTTATAGCCTCACGTTAGCTTTTTTATTCTGTTGATTGCATTTACGCTTCAAAAATCATGAAGTGGTGTAAATATGTGGAAGTTATCCTGCTGAACGGAATGTGTTAGCTATCATAAACTTGTATTGGTCACAGACCTTATTTTCTGCAATATACAAAATATGGGGGAATCCCATTACTTTTTGTCGAGGGAGCCCTTGCTAACTTCCCAGTCGTCCTATAGAAATACATCATCAACTGCACCACTCCAATTTTATATTTTTGTATTATTAATGTAGTTAATACTCTGCTGTAAGGGGGCATCACCATCCCAGTCTTTCTCGACTCAAAGTGACATCAATGTATTGTGGCACAGATGTAAAGGACTGGCTTATCTATAACCAGTTGAGTAGCACTTGAAATGTTTGGCTCTATGAACCTTGATGTAATTATATGATTCTGTTTTCTTTTCTTCAAGGTTGTATCTTCCTGGTCAAATGTACTTATTGTAAGTCACTTTGGATAAAAGCGTCAGCTAAATGCAATGTAATGCAAAGTTTGTGTTTGAATGATGATTTCTCAGCCTCACTTGCACAGACGTGTTATCTCCCAGACATGATTCTCAAGGTCAACAAAAGCAATGTGATATAACCATAGACTGTCAAGCTCAAAGTGTCTTGACAATGCCAGTATTCCTGGCTAATCCAAAAATAGGCGGCCGGTTCACTTTAAAAATGTGCTCCATTCTTCCCCCAGCCCGTTTCTGTAGACAAACACAAGTGATCACAGAGTTAGATCCAACCAACATGACTGTCTGCTCCTGTGTGTCGGTGATGACAGACAACAACCTGTGGCTGACTTTGATAAAGGAAGCTTTGTTCTGACTGAGTCTGCTATCTGACTCCAACGAGCGCCAGGCAGCACCGTTTAAACACATCGCCCAAAATCAGTGATGAGCAGAGCTTCATTATATTAAGGATGTCATTGTTTTAATTCTCAAAGTTCTTATGTTGAGTAACATTATCCATCCTACTTTACAGTATTTTCAGCATAGTTCCATTGAGTAATCTGATTTGATCCAGTTTAAAGCGATAATTTCAAAGGATTTAAACTCGCTTACGTAAGCAGATGTTTCATATTAGATCCTATGCAAATCAAATTATATTATGATATCAAACGCAGTGACTCGCTTTGTGCTCTTCTCAAATGTCTCTGTGGCAGTGTAATGTCTTTCTTTCGAAACTGCGGCTGTTTTTGTTTTCATGACTTATTTGTAGTGTGCTTATAACTTTAATCCCTTTACCTTAATGTGACAGTAGAAGGATTGACTCCTGGACCAGTCAGTGGACCCTTTTTATTACAATAGTTTCAGTGCTGTCTGGTAGATATTGTCTACCCAGAATTATGATTGATGTTTTAATTTTTTTCATGAAATGTAAACTTGGAAGTGGCTAATCTGCATATATGAAAATGTAAAAACCGTGAATTTGCAATTACTGCAACCGGGTACACGCATCCATTTATTTATCTGTGGCTTGAACATTTTAGATGATACATAAAGGATATCTCCCTGTAGGCAGGCTGGAAAGGTATTTATGTGTGAAGTAATGTTGGGTTTTATTTTCTTCATCCCAGCATTAGTGTGCTGATAGTGAACAGTGTTACTGATTTTCAGTTGTTCTAACCCGTAAGGCTGCTGGCTGAAGCCTACCATCGAGACACAATTACAGTATGTGCTACTGTTCCAACCTGACTTACAGACCTAGTGGCTTTACTGCTGTGTCAGAATTTGAGTTTACTTGTTTTTTTCTGCTACTACTGAAATCTAAAATAAATAGTTTAGCACTGTACCAGTAATCACATTCAGTGGTACCAGACAGAATATAAATGAAATGTCATGTAACCTTAATCTTGACTATTTTTAATTTAGGACTTGCTTCAAAATCATAATATTTCCTAATCTAAGGAAGACCTATATGCAATTTGGGCTGTGTATTGGAAACAAATCTGGTGGTAAAAGGATAACCATGATACAAGGCCAGGGTAACAATTTAAAATGTTGCTTTCCTAGATATTGCATTGGTTTAAAAAAAATCTTATGTAGGAAAAGTGTAAATTATAAAGAATGTGTATGCACATTTGCATCTAATTGGAGTAAAACAATTAACAAATAAGGATCCGTCTGTCTGTCTCAGGGCTCAAGGCTTTAAGACATCTACAGATAATTGAAATACTGCCGGATGTTTCACCATTTGAATGTTCTTCCTCTTGTGCTTCTCCTCTTCCTTCCTCTGCAGGTTATGGTCACACCACTCCTCTGTCAGACACTGGTAAAGCGTTCTCCATCCTCTACGCCCTGATCGGGGTCCCCTTCACCATGCTGGTGCTCACGGCTTGCGTGCAGAGGATCATGTTCCCCCTGGTGCTCGCCCCCGTCGGGCTGCTGCAGCGCTCCGGCCTGGAGCCTCGGCCTGCCACCATCGTCCACTTCCTGTTGCTGCTGATCCTGGTGGTGATGTGTTTCTTCGTGGCGCCGGCGGCCGTGTTCAGTGCGGTGGAGCTGTCTTGGTCCTTCCTGGATGGAATCTACTTCTGCTTCATCTCGCTGTGCACTATCGGACTGGGAGATTTTGTCCCGGGAACGCAGCCCAATCAGCAGTACAGGTCGCTGTACCAGGTCGCTGTCATGGGTGAGTGCAGTTGTTAATATATCCTTCCTACATCAGAAATTGTGTTCGTCCATTTACACAACTATAATCCAGCCAAACTGTAGATATTATTATAAAACGGTACAGGAACAGACTTAACCAAAGAACATCGAAATTGTTACAACGTCATTTTCGGCCACTAGGGGCTCTCAATCTTACAATAACAAGAGTTGTTTTGGTGTCGTAAGGTAGTGTGGGATTGTCAAAGTTTGTCATTGCAGTCTGCTCTCAGTTAGGATTACGTAATTGTTCATGGTTTGGGAGGTTTTTAGCAATTGCCACATTTTCCGTAGAGGTCTCCTCTTTAATGAGTCCACAAACTGACCAGCAGATTCAATAAAAAAAAAAAGAAGGAAAATAAAGTACTTTCACAGAAAAATATCAGGGTTTCAGGGTTTGCTTCTCACAAAACAAACAGCTAGGAGCCCATTTGCTGCTATTGTTAATTCAGCTTGTTTCTCTGACAACTTCAGATCCAGGCATTCAGGGCAGTGGCGCCGGAAGTAGGGGGGCCAAGGGGCCATTGCCCCTCCCCCCCCCACACTTTACAGCCCTGCCCCACATTTTCGCAGTGGCGGATGCAGCAGAACACTACATCCCGTTTCAATAATTCCCCCCTACTCTATAGTCGCATCTAAAAAGAACACGATCTGATCTAGCTGTGTACATTTTTTTATTTTGGCAAATTGAGGAGATAAGACAATCTCATTAGCTACAGGCTCAGCGACGGAGGCTCTCATATATTGCATTAGGTAAAATAAAGCAGGCATACATAACGGGAAGAATATGTACATTTTAATCCAATCAAAGAGGACATTGTCCCACCATTCAAATGTATCCAGTGTACATTACAACCAATAAAAAAGCTTAGATTTGTTTCTTTGTTACGTTGATCTTTGTAAGCCCATAACCTATCTAGATAAAGGTAGCTATTGATATCATGTCAAAAGAACCAGCGCATAAGAAAAGAAAGTACAGTCAAACAATACTGAACTTCAACAACTTCCATGTCACATCCCTGACATCCACAACTCCAGAGCCTGGCCCTTCAACCCTAGAACCAGCGCAGCCAGATGAACCCCAAAGCCGCAGCTCTGCGACCATTGAGACTGTCAAAACCGCTGGCATTGTTGAACCGAAACAGGATGGTTCCGACTGCGGGTAGGTTTTGTCGTCGGGACATTGAGACATATTGTATATATAAATGGACGTAGTGTCCGTGACGTCACCCATAGGATTCTGCAGAGTTGCCGAGAAGCCCTTAGTAGGCGGAGTCGGCCACTAACGGCTCGACAGTGACGTCAGAGTTCAACTCCCGCCTTCTCCAGCATGCTCCAAATAAGGGCAAAGAGGCGGAGCCGAGGCGGGACCTGCTGCCTCCGAACTGGAAGTAAACAGAGCTAGCTCAGGCTAAGAAGCTAAGCTAACATGAAATACATGCATACCAAGTTACTGCTAACAGTGTAGTTCCCCTATATAAAATAAGTACCGATACATAGCAGAACAATTGTGGCGATGTTCAGCTTAATAAGCCTTGTTCAACATAATTTATTTAGCTAATACTACAGCAGGCAAACCAAGTCTGCGTTTCGCTGCATTCCTTGATCTCCAGTTATAACGACGGACTCCATCGCCCGGACCTAACGGA